GCTCCCAATGCTCTGAGCAAGGAGGGTGCTCAAGGCACATTTTTTGCTGTGTTCTTCCACTGTAAACCTTATCACAGCATCTTCCTGAATTACAGGGCAGGACTTGGCCATTGGTGCTAACGGGGAAAACAGTACCTTCATGAGCACAGTGAAGATTGTGGTGAACTTGCCTGCCTATCAATATTGTGTGCACTCTAATTCCAAAAGATTTTATCCGCAAGAAGGATGCACAACCTGGCATGAAAGAGAATCAGCACAGATTCCCAATGCAGTGAGCTCTGCAGAGGTGCCTCTCTTCAGTGCTCTGTATCTTCTGGTTTTAAACAATTACTGAAAGAAGGATTATTACACGGAATTCTGCAATTACTGTCCTGGATAGGCACAGATTAGATAACAAAGAGCTCTTTTTTAATTAAGACCGTAGGCCACAAGCCAATTTTTCTTTTTCCAAGTGGTATTAAATCAGCAGGTAGCTCAGATGCTGGATGTTTGCAGTTTGGGCTGCTTCATCACTTTAAGCTACTTGTGTAAGGAGCGTTCAAGATGAACAGGCAAACACTCAAATTCCCACGTGTGGATCAGTCTTAAAGCACCACTAAGGTATCTAGTGAGGCTGCCCAAATAAGTTAGGAAGCATCGCTCCAAGATATTCCCTGGGATAATGGGACCCAGAGTAATCAATACCAACATGCTGAATATTAGTGCTAAAAGCTAGCTTTCTGTCTGAGGATTTATATTCTACACAGGTTTTCTGTTGACTTTCACTAGAATAAAATCCTCCTTCAGGAAACTTTACATACCTAAATAATTCTGTTAGTTCATTTCAAAAGGGCCTGTTGTCTTGAAGGGAAATACGACACTGTGAGGTATTGCGTATACAGTGAGATGCTGAGAGAAGTGGAAAGGGAACCTAAAGCTTAACTTTCCCCCTTTTTTTTTTCTTTTATGGTAGTGATAACCTGTACCTGAGCAAATGTGTTGCAGCTCAGGAAGGTATGGACTATGCACATATACATTACTGTCTTGAACAATTAATGTTTTCATGAAACCTTACAGCAGCAAGCAGAGATTCTGTTGTATGTTATATATGTGTTTTTTTCAGTAAAACTAGGGATTTGGCCAGTGATCTCTGAGCAGTGGTATCCAGCAATCTACTTTCTTGTTAATTCCTGACTAACATGTGTAAGTTCACTTCTTGCAAATTTGATAGAACACAACATTCTTAAGAGAAAAACTCAGTCTAGAACTTTCTCATTTGCATAATTAAATAGATTTATAGAGAATGAATGCTTCTTTCCAGATGGTTAGCTCTTCTGTCATTTAATACTAAGTCTGTTCATTAAAATTATAACATTAGGCATTAAACTCAATCTTTTGTGAATAATACTAAAATTAAGCATGATATTCAAAGTGTAAATTTGCCAGTTCCACTGTAATGTGTCTTTTTAACTTATATTCCAAGGTGGAAACACATATTTGATAAGCAATTCTGAAAAGATTTACAAAAAGTTATAGTGCATATTTGATCAGACAGGTATCTTCTCTTTACAACTGAATCATTTTAATGATTGACTTCTTCAGTGCTAAGGATATTAAACTATCAGAAAATTGTACCTATCAGAACTATGAGAAAAAAGTACCAAATATTTAGAAAAACACCTAATTACAGTCCTACCAGCTTTGAATTGACATCATTACACGACAGTCTCAACTTCAGTAAAAATATCTTCCTTAAAAACAGAAACTGCAACTATCAAATATTCATTATTCTTCCATTAAAAGAGAGCTAAAACATGTCTCTGATGAAAACCGCTAAATTGTTTTGTTTGTATGAATAGGAAGAGATTGTTTACTGGCAGCCCTATGGGCAAATTCATACAGAAACTGTTTAAACATCACATCAATATGATTTAATTATGGTTAAGCATGCCCCAAAGAAGCAAATGAGACAGAGAAATAGCAGCACCAGCACATCCTTGTGTTCAGCTCTGATACTCTGTTATTTAACACAGAATTATGTGGAAGTTTATGCAAGTTAACAGGCGCACTGTGGGACGCTTGGGCTTTGCAAGGTAGATCTCATTTTAGCACTGATCTCCTTGGCACACCATTCCAGGGCACCACACATCAGCACCTCTCTCTGTAAACAAATGCTTATTTTTGCTTGTGAACTCCCATGAGAAAATAAACACAGTCAGCTTATTAATGCTCCTGCTGAACACCTAACTCTGTAACCATATGCCTAAGTGCTGACCTTTTTGTTTGTGCTTAACCTCATTCAACTTGTGTCTGATTTAAGATCGCACTTCAGTATTTAATTGTCTTTAATTAGATTATACTGCAGCTTATTAAGACACCACAAGGCAATTGGGCAGTTGGTAGGGGTTTCCTCTCGTCAGCAGTGTGCATGTGGCAGCAGGCTGTGGAGCTGTGTGTGTAGGTTGCGTTTAAGTGAGTTGTTAATGCTGTGGTGTTTGGTGTTAGCCTGGTTGGTGGTAACTGCTTTTCCCTGTAGCATTACTGGAGCTGCTATCTTCTGTGGTTTTTAAGTTATTGCAATCTGCCCAACAGTCTACTGCATACAAGTAAATAATAACAAATATGATGCAAAGAACTCATTAATTGTATCTGCTTAGTATTTTGGGTCCCTGTATTGTGAAATCCCCATGTGCAGAGGATTTATGCCCTAAGTGATGCAGCGGAACAGCGATGTCAGGTCTCTCATTCCTAATTTGTAGAGGGGTATTGACTGAGTACCAGCCCCTTATAATTCAACTTGGATGAGACTAGTTCCCTTAAGCCAATGTAGCTTTAGGTATTTACAAGCACATGGGGACACTTGCAGCATCGTAACGCTATTAGCAGTGCCAATATAACATGTCTTTCAATGGTATTAGGACTGGCTGCTTACAGTCAATGACATTTCCATTAAAACACATGCCATTCCACACACTAATGCCTGAAGAAGCCTGTGTGTACACAGCAGGCATTGATTTCGCATAAAGTGTCCCTCAGTTCAGCATACCCTGAGGTTAAAATTGAAACACAATGAATACAGCTATAAAACAGGATCTTTAATGTATTAGTGTTCTATAAGATAGGTGTATTTTCTTCTTAAGTTCTGTTTGGGCAAACAGCTATCTGACCGTGCCAGGAAATGTACTGTGTGAGAGTCTGCTATGATTCTATCATGTAAAACTGATATCTTAGTCATTATGGAAGTGATGGCTAAACAGGTTTTTTAAAAAAAGAAGCAAAAAGCCATTTAGCAGTAAATCTGTACGTCTTAGGCATTTAATTCATTAATCATAAATAAGCCTTGATGAAAATGAACTATAGTGTCTTTGGAAGAGGATGTTTTGGGAGGAATTCTCTTTGGATATTTTTCTTTCAAAGCATCTTTGGGTTTCCCACAGCATATCTTGATAGCAAAGGCCTGCAGTTTTTCTTTCTCCTGAATCATATCATGCTGTGCACTGGTTGTGCAAGGCACATGTGTAAATAGAATGGCAATAAAATATATTAATTGGAAGAACAGCAACTAAATCATTATTAAAATAGCTATTTTTTTTTGTCCTTAGGATAATTGTCTCTGCTGTTGCTGCAGGCCAACAGGTGGACTTCAGAAACCTGTGCAGAGGAGAATATTTTCTTGCTTTGCTGTGTCACTGCACAAACATTCAGATCCCCTGCTGTAAGGGTCTGTAAAACTGCACAGGTTAGATGTCACTTTTCTGTAAAAATTAGAGTTGCCAGAGTCATATTAATGAACAAGAAAAATTGCCCTTGTTTGTATGTTCTGTTGCTAATATTATGAAATCGTTGATCGTGGGATAATGAGCAGATTTTTGCCTAAAGAATTCCTTTGAAAGGGAGATTGTTCCCTGAGATGTATTTCAGTAGTAAAATGAATGACTGAAAAAGTCTTACAAGCCAGGAACGCTCATTTCATTGTCAGCATTTCTTCAGTTGTTTAACAAATAAAGATACTCTCCGCCCTGGGTGCTGGTGATTGGCATATCACAAGTTTTGCCTTCCATACCATAATGTCACACTATCACAGACAGGTTGGAGGTCATTCCAATAACCTCACTGGAGCTTATTCCAGTCTGATACCTACTGTCTCTTCCTGCAAAACTTAACATGTACTTAAAAGGAGAAGAATCCTTACCCAGTGCTTCAGGATGACTTTGGGTAGTTGCGTGAACAGTAAAACTGAGTAATGTGACACCTGCTTCTTCGTCTTTTAATTTCATAGCCAGTACCTGAACAAGCTTAAACCTTAATAATACTTGCAAAGAACAGAAGCTTGGCTGCCTTCTTTTTTATTGTCATGTTAAATATGAGTTTAATTTTAGTTGTTGATGGTATATCAGGTGTTATTTTCTCTTCATGCAGAATTTTAACAACTTGCTCTGGAAAATGATGCAGTATTCCTGTGCTTCTTTGTTTCTCTCCAAAATGAGATGCAGTTGTTCTAACAGCCTCTGGCAATTTGGAGAGGAACATGCAGGTGTAGTTTGCTTTGCACATGTTCCTGCTGTGTGTAGGAGTTGTTTACTGCTTAGCTGAACAAAGCTCCCGGTGTCCTTCTGGATGTCTGGAGCTGTTTAGCAGTGAAATCAGAGATCACGTTACCAGAACTTGTGTTTCTCACTAGCAGTGAGCCCAAACAGTTTTTGAAGGGTCAGTGCCTGCTGTTGCCACCAAAGACTGGAATAAAACTTCTACTGGTATTATTTCTTCAGTTTTGTTTCCTGCTCTGATCGAGATGAAGGACTTCCATAAATGCTCACGTATCTGCCAACAATCAGTCTCTGTAAAAGAAGACTGTGGACTTTTTCTTGGGAACTGCCGAGTCACAGCCTGAACCACTGAATGATCATCTGGGAAAGGTCAGCCCTGGGAGCACAGGTGAAGGCAATTCAGCAGTGTGACAAGAAGGGGTGGAGCCTGGCTGCACCTCTCTTAGACCCCATTTAAGGGCTGACTGCCACGGGGGAAGGGCCTCTGATGGGAGATCCTCTCCTCTGTGGGCTTTTCTTCTGTGAGCCCAGATGGTTGGAGCTGGGTGAGCATTCCTTTCCTGTTTGACCCTTTTGCCATTCCACCATGCTGATTTTTTGGACTGTAACATTTTCCTATTTACATCTGATTCAGTTGACCTGCTTAGTTTGGGGCATACTTACTTTGCCTTACTGTTTCTTTTCAATTTTTAAGTGAACAAATGCCAGTCTTTGAGAAGTTAGAAGTGAATAAACCATGCCACATCTTAGAGTCAGGGCAATATTTGGCAGTGCAGGTTTGCACGTAAATTCAGTACTTCTGCATTTCATTTTTTTTCATATTAAACGATCAGACCAGGTGCCTTGTCTGCTAATTATCCCAGACTTCTCCTTGCTGACCCAGCCCTCCACCAATATCGCAGCTCTGTTGGGCAATGCAGCTGCTAGGTGTGCTGCCCAAAGCGCCTCAGGCTCCTGCAGGCCTCGCAGCCTCACACCATGCGCCTGGTGCAGCAGCTCTGGCTGTTACTCGCGTGTGGACTGATTTATTTATTTGTTTATTTTTTAAGAAGATGTATCTTCTTTAACGGATGCACAGTGTTAAACTAATGGTCACCTGTCAGCATTAGTCTGGGAACTGCACATGAGGAAAACCAAGAAGGTTCCTGCGAGCATCATCAGTGTGTTTGGAGAGATCCCACCCTTGGCCTGGGGGGTTCTCTTGGCTCTGGACGGAAGGTCTGTTCGTTTGCTCTTAGGTGGGAGAAGTACAATAACACAAGGTAATACAGAGATAGAAAAACATTGTGCAGCCCTGTTAGTGAGAGAATGGCTTGGTGCTGTGGGACTTCACAGTTAAATTCTCACTGTGGGGCACTTAAAGTGCTCCACATCTCTGAAAAAAGTGCAGAGGATACAGGGGATCACATTTATTTGAATGCTTAAAAAAATAAGATGAAGTGCTATTTTCTTTCATCTTTCTGTAGGAGAAGTAGAATTCTGCCCTGGGGTGCTTCTGCCAGACCTGAGAATGGTGTGAAAGAAATGTCAATGGTGTGGTTTTACTTTTAATTTCCAAGCAGGAATGCAGTTCTCAGAGGCGAACTGGCCTGCTGGGATGAGGAGCCTTTTGGCTATATGAGCAAGGCCATTTAATTGAGGGCTGGAAAACAACCCTCTGTAATCTCTCTCTCATATACCTGGAATATTAACGAGAGTAAGAAGCGGCACTCATTCAGGTTCCTCATTTTCATTAGAGTGTTTATTAGAGCTCACAGCCTGGCTTTTCTGTTCAGCCCTTCTCATTGTCAGTCTCTGTCACCAGTACTGTTCCCCTCCTGCAAAATGGTAACACTGATTATCCTGCTTTGAAGCCCATTCTGACCTTTTCAGCTTTCCATAAAAAACTCTAGAGGCTTTAATTGAGTCTGAATGGAACTTTAAATCTGGTCCTGCAATGTCTTATGCACTCCATGTATAAAAATATAGAACTGGAAATGAATTTTTTTTGCTACATTATTTCACCTGTTATTACGCTTTAGTTTAGTTTTACTTTCTGCTGTCTTGTTACAGTTGGTTTACACTTTTAAACAGCTTTTTTGGCTCTTAAAGCTCTTTTTAAAAAACGAAATATTAATGTCCTCTTAGTGGTGTGGTTTTTATGTATAAATGTCATGTTTATATCAGTAATATGAAAACATATGGGCAGGCAACAGGTATGTGCTTAACCTAAGGACTACAACTTTATTTGCTTTTTTAGCTTGGTTTTCCAAGCGGAACATACAAACCAGTGGCCAGCTCAGTATGAAGTACCTGCATATGACGTTAGATGCTATGAGGGGCTGAATTGCCAATGGTAAAAGACTTATTTTTGCCTGAGGGAATCTTAGGATGAGAAGAAAGGTGCAAGATAGTAAAATCTATAATAATAATAATAATACAAAGGTGCCACTTCTGAGCATGTGTATCTGGTTGAGCAATAAATTCTATCTCTACTATAATACTCTTTGTCTATGGGATTCCATTTGGAAAATAAAAGGCAGTCCGAGGTTGACAGATAGGAACTGTAGGCACAGCAGCTTTAGAAGAGAATAGAGATTTGCAGCTTTTCCTTTACTGGTTTGTGTAGATGTATATGAGGAGAGCAATTGTCTAGATAAGGTAACCACTGAAAAGATACTCTTTATTGAATGTTAAGAATCTCTTTCCCAATCTAATAGGAATTTGAGAAATTTGCGGAAATTCTTACTCTAGTAATATGAAGTTGGCTATAAGACATAAAAATTGGATGAGATTTGGGAATGGAAGTGTATGATGTAGAAATATCTAGCTGGAAAGCAGAACAAATGGAGATGTTTTTTCATGAGTCTTTTTTTTTTGTCCTTAAAACAGCAAGAAATCTGCTACTTCTGTGCACAGGGGAAGCTGAGAGGTTCACAAACACTTGCACTTGAATTCATATTTAGAAATAGCTTTCTGCTTCTTCATGTGCTTGTCTGTCCAGCTATAATTATCCATCCTCCTTTTTCTCCAGTTACATGCTTTATAATGTTTAGCAGCTATTCCAAGAAGCAGCTTATTCCTGTGTGACAAGATTTAATTAAACTTCCAGTGAAATAATTAGTGAGGGTATTTCAAAAGGCTTTTTAAACTCAATGCAGCACTGAGGTCCAAATAGAGTTAACACTGTCATCAGAGATCAAAGCCACCAAAGAACGTGACTGAAAATTAAACCCCCAGCAGCAGTCAAATAAAGAAGCACACTGAAGCGGTTGTGATTTTCTGCCTCTTGGGTCCTATCTACAAATTGATTTGACGTGGAAGATTTCCCTCAGGAAGCTTAAAAAATGGTAAATTTCCATTAGTTACATAGCAAAGAATGTTCTTTCTATAATTTATAACCTATTAGGAAATGTTTTGGGAGGTGTTTGCCTCCTGTTATCTGTGTTTTCTGCTTTGCCAGCAGACCAGCTGGAGGTTGGTTTGGGGGCTGCTTGCTGCCTTGTGGAGCTTCAGGCCCAGAAAGGAGTGAGTGTGGAGATCTTCAGAGGAGCAGGGAAGAGAGGAGTGCTGAAAGCATGGAGTTCCCCCCACCCTGTGTGCCATAAATCCCAGCCTAGAGGCATGTTCTTGCTTATCTCAGGTCTCAGGAGGCCAAGGCAGAGGCTCCTCCCTGTTTTTGTGGCCTGCCATTTACCCAAGGTCAGTCCTCTTACCTCTTGCAGAGGAGTCATCTGTATTGAGAGCGAAATCCAAGTGCTGCCCATGGACTGTACTTAGCAAAGTGCAATTGGCAGTTTGACCTAGCAGGAGCTAGAGGAGTTAGATCAAGGTACCTTGATTGCTGCAGTGCAATTATTTCTTCCACACTCTTTAGGCGTTACAGAATGCAGATGGCTTCTGGACCTCATGGCCTTAAGACAGTGCTTAAGTCACAAGCTTAGCAAGACTTCAAATGGCTTTTTGTATGTTCACTAGGGCTTTTCAGAGTTACAGTATTGAGTGGAAAGCAGAAATTTCTCAAAGGGTGAGAGCAGCCTCAGTGAATGAGGGGTGGTGGAGCTGTGGTGTGTTTGGGAGTGCTTCCCTGTAGGTGGGGAAACCCAGCTGCCTGTGGGCTGCTGCCCTGTGCAGCTCATGCTGTGTGTTCTGCTCATGTGCAGGGGGCAGGCTGGGATGTTTGTTGGTTTCTGTTGTATTTATAACAGGGCTCTGTTGATTTAAATTGCCTGAAGCTAGGGACTGCATCTCTGGGTAGGACTCTGGAGAAAATATCAAGAGCAACTTTGCAGGGAGCAGATTTAATAGGTATGTGCTATGGGTTGCATGTTTGTCATCTCTTCTGAGCTGTGCTGTGCTTAGTTTGAACTGTGAAGATGTGAATAATTTATTCAGAAAGTTATGCTAACTATGTATGGCACAGAATCCCAGGAGATGAGTAAATAATTAATATATACATTTCTTTTGCAGCTCTGTCCTTGTTTGAGTCACTCAAGGCTTGCTGAATACGCTGAGCAGGCAAATGCACTTTTCGGTGCCCTATATCAGGATCCCTTCAGTGTTTCTATGCTGGGGACTAGTAATTCCTTTACAGCCTCCTTAAGAAATTCACCTAAATAATTAAAATCAAGAACAATGGAGTCTGTTTGTGATATGTTGGTAGGTTTGAATGAAATAAGATTGAAACCAAGCTGTTAGCAGTAGGAGAAAGTGCTGGCACTAAGCAAGGTCAAGTACAGTCTGAGCAGATGTGGTAGGAAGTTGCTGCAGCCTAATAACCTGTGTGTCCCCAGGTGCAGACAGTGCTGATAAGCAGCTAAAAGTCCAAAAAGTCTGTTGTTTGAAGCAGGGATTTAACAGCCAAATCTTATGATTGAGAATGAAAGTATAATACAGACCAGTGTTACCACTCCCTATGGAGTTAACAGCATTTACCTGCTGCCTGAGAGAATCCACTGTGGTCTTGTACTCTATTCAGTGTGTTTGTTTTGAGCATGAAATTTCTGGACATCATTCTCTTGTGTTTCTTCTATTTCCATTTCCTATTTTTTAAGATTTGTTTAAAAAAAACCAAGAAAATGTTATGTTTACAATCTCAAATATCACAGTGCCTTTTTGCATCCTTTGAAATATTTCTGAGGAAGACAAAAGCCATTTCACAGTGAAGGATAGTAGTTAGGAGGCTTGAACCTCTTAAATTCCATGTGCCACGCTGTCCATTGATAACTGCTTAAGGTTTCTTTTTATAATATATCTATGAGGATGAGCATTGAATGCAGTAATAAGTAATAGTACAATATAGGGCTGACAATAGGAACAATAATTGCTTGTTTTTCAAGGTAAAAACTATAAGACAGTAGCCTTAACTACTTGGGCTCACTCAAATTCATAAATGTTGCATTCAAGTAGAAAAGACTGGTGTCTGAACTTCTGTCTGTCTCAAAAAATGAAACAAATAAAAATAAGGGTTAAAAATAAGGATCCTAAATATCAGAACTAATCCCACTTAATACAATGTGTGACTGCAATAAACTGTTATTTCAAATATATCGTTGATCTTTAGGTTTGTTTTTTTTTTTTTTAATAATCTTACACTTAAATCAGACCATAAAATAATTAATTCTATCTGCAGTCTCATCACTGGGAAGGAATATAAGCTAATTGAAATTTTGTGGCATAGTTCACTATTTTCAAAATGAATATTCAAGGAGTTTTGGTAGTTTGATTTCCAAATAGTCAAGAATTATTCACAGATGACTCTAACGTTGTCTTCTGACTTAATGCCCTATGATGTGTAGTAGCTACTGTACACTTGAAGATTTTTGCCCACTATGAGTCCAGAGTGCTTTGTAATTGTTATTTTTCTTTTTCTAGGGCTGCTGCTGAATTATTTAGATGAGGAATGGGTGTTCTGACAGCAAGAATTATGGTAAAGACTTGAGATTTACAAGGTAATGAGAATGACATCTGCTTATGTGAAAGGAGGGAAGGGATTTAACGAAAATTTTTGTTCTCTTACCTGTAATTTGGTAAACATTGTGGGTGAACGTTGCATTCACCTCAGCAATCATGCTGAACTGGTATAAAGATACCCACTGTGTAGCAGCTCTTTCATTAAGATTTATGCACATAACAAAAACATTTTCCTAAATGCCCTCTGGGTAATTAAATGAGTGTCTTTGTTGTACAGCAGGCTTTGAATAATGATGACGTCCTGGGAGGTAATCATGACTCCCAGCAATCACAATCATAATCTTCAGAGAAGAAAAGATACAGCTAACCAGCATCCCATGCTGCTGTCTGTGAATGAGGCGCTCGGCATTTTGCTGGATGAATAGCTGAATATTTACAGAGAACATGGCTCCTTAGTGATGTGGGTTGAGGAGTCAAGGAGCTGTGAGGCTGGTGGACAGCAGCTGCATGCAGTGCCTGCAGCACACTCAGATGTCCTGGGCCGTGCTCCCCTGCAGTTGCTCTATGTAGTGCTCCCTTGTAACGAATACCCTTATTTAAGGAATATCCTTAGAGGAGTTACAGCTGTATGTGGAAGGGCTTGAAGCATGGGGCTTGTGGTGAAGTGCACATAGAGGTGTGAACTGAGTTATCTGCAGAATGCAGTGTTAGAGCACCAAGCCCTCCCCATTTGCTTCATTTGGTTGTGCCTGCGGGTTTCTGAGTTGGGTGACTCTGTTATGTAGACAAAGTCCAAAACACATTGTGTCAGTTTAAATATAGCTGATACATTTAATGAAGGAATGGAAAGTCTGGGAGCAAAGCTAACATGAGGGACAAAAAGAGTTTCCTGGAGCCTCTATATCCACTCAAATGCTTTTTCCCAAACGCTTGCTTCTCTGACAATTGTTCTTAGTCGTGTCTGTCATCAGGGGATCTTGGAACATTTAAGCTAGATTTCTGGATGATTTCTTAGATATTTTTTCTGTTTCATTGCTATCAATACTGATTCTAGTGTAAATATAATGATTTATTACATTTTTATGCTGTTAGAAGTTTACCTGTCTGGAACCACAAGCCTGATTATTGTTATTTGCTGAAGTAGAGTCTCTGTGACATAAAACAGAGACAGCAGAAAATGCAAGAGCTTAGTAGTAGTGCTCCAGGGTGCACTGGAGATGATTCCCCACTACACAAGGGGAAAATCTCACCAGGGGTACGCAGACAGATCAGGTCAGCACAGTAGGAATAAGAACTCATCGGTGCACTTCTGCTTGCAGAGTTTTTGACAGGAAGAGGCTTGTTATTGTGTCTGCAGTTCACATCCAGTTTGCAAACTCTCAAGATACGGGACAGACTGTAGGATGCCTGAAGGGAATGGGATGCAAACTAGAATTACCTCTGACCGTAACATTAATATTTGAGATTTTTGCACAAAGTGCCTGGGTTGAACATGTAATACAGTGTATGTTTAAGCAATCTGTGGCTGATAAAAAGACTGTGCATGGTAGAGATGAGTGGGTTAAGTTTTAAAAGAAGGAAGGTTTACATAAAGAAGCTTCTGCATGTTTTCTTCTCCTTTCAAAAAGTTAGCCATAGGGAAAATGTAAATCTTGGTGAGTAAGTTAAAGATGACTTGAGGCTGCTGTCAGTTACTTGATGCTCCTAGAACAGCTGCTACTGAAGAGCTTGTTTGCTTCTTGTACCTCTTTACTTGCTCTTGATAGCCATGCTTTGAGGATTTCTTCTAAGCCTGTTTCCGTTGAGAGCGATGACTGCGGAAGTGGGGGGTCAGAGCTGGTGGCAAGTGCTGTTTCAGCAAGCAAAACTTAAAGATTTTTTTTTTAATCAGTAAAATGTGCATTGGTGTGACTAATGGTCCAAAGTGATGGAGCAAGATCATTGTTATCACTCCTTGTCTATTTTTCAGCAAATCCGTACGTTCCTATTTTTTTCCTCCAGCAGTCCTTAACATATTCCAAGAGAGGAACTATCTGTGGGTGAGGAGCTAGGCTACTCAATATTTGGTAGCCTAGTCAGTAAATATCTGTAGGCAAAGGAAGCCTAACAACTTCTCCCCTGGAGGAAAAAAAAAAAAAAAAAAAAAAAAACCAACCAAACCCCACAAAAAAACCCCATACCACCCAAGCCAAGATATTTTAAAGTTGACACAGATATTAGTGAATCAAAAATACAATGTGAGTCTTCAATTTGTTTGAAGGGGTTTTGGCTGGGTTCATAATTCTGGGAGTATCATTGCCAAGTTCTCTGTCAGTTAGTCTTCTGCACTGTTAGAACACCAAGTCCATCCCAATGAAAAATACTGTGAGAAGGTTTTACTCTTGTACCACATAAAGATGGGAACAAGCACAAGGAAGCCAGCATCACCCCAGATCCAGTGGCATAGGACATTTGGAGAAAACTGACATCTAAAAAATATTACTTGGAGAGATGGGATATCAGGCTAACTGTGATTTAAAAGGAAATAAAGGAGCATCTGAGAGACTGTATGGGATAGGAGTCTTCAGATATAGCCAATCATGTAAAAGAGAGAGAATGTGCTGTCACAAACATGGAGAAAGGGAATGGGGATGGGAAGAGAGCTTAATTTGTTGGATTTCATTGAACGGTTTGGATGAAATCCCCAGACTGTTCTTCGTTTTCATTTCCTAGTTCACCCGTTCACTGCGACAATCCTCTTGGGAGCTTCTGGTTAGAGAGGCCTGCTTTCAGAATGCAGTGGAATTAATGAAATAACAGTAAGGGGAAATGCCGTGCTGGGTACAACTAACATTTGCCAGAAAGCTGTGGTTATACATGAGAAGTGACCTTATGGTTTTTGTGACTTAAAGAAAAATAAAGATTAAAAAAAATCCTTTTTCCAGGACTCTGGGTAGGACGCAGCCTGGCAGCAGCAATCCAAACCCATAGAGAATATCATGAAATAATTGAAAAATGGAGCATTGTTAAAACTAATTTTGAAACTGTGAAATTTTCTGGTTGCCTCCTTTTTGCTTCTAAGTTCTTCAATGGTTTAAATACCACCTGTAGAACAATAGTGCCATTCACTTAGTAATTTGTCTTTTTATTCCTGATAACAAACATGTTGACTACAAAAATAGCCATTCTACTTGTGATCATCAAACTCCAGCTGAATTTCAGACAAAGATTTTGGCAGATCTCCCGCTAAAATATTAGACAGCAAATCAAGCAGTGATTAGTGTTTGTTGCTGATGCACTTTGTGCTTTTAAATCTCCATATTGCTTTTGATACTTCAAAAAAGCAGTAAGGTATTGTTCCCCTAAAACACAATCTGAAGTACCTCTGAACTGAATATTGCTATATTTTTGCATGGGAATAAATCTTCTGGAATGCAAGAACTAAACACTGCACAAGAAATTTAAACATGCTTGCAGAAACAGAATGCTGCCCATCCCAGGTGGTTTGCACTGCGCTTGTTTAACCTGAGCTTGTTCAATGCGCAGCCATGCTCTTGTTCAGTTTGCTAGAGAGAGGTCTAGGTTCTTAGTTCAGTTTTAGTTATAGCTGTGCCTATGCAGTGTTTGTGTGGATATATTATAGAGGATGCAGTTCCAAGAGAGACACGTGCAGTTTTTTCCAAGTCAAAACTTGGTCATTGAGTGGATGGAAAAATCTGAACTTATGGCCTCATATTGAGCCTCCTGCGGTCAAAGAAGCTCCATTCACGTAAATCATTTTTTCTTATCAAGCAAGCATCTGTCTTGTGGTTTCAGTGGCATATGCTTACCTCAGTGGTCCTATGCATAAGTTTTACTTCAGCTTTGGATGCTCATCAAATCATTAAGGTTGGAAAAAACCTCTAACATCACCGAGTCCAACTGTCAACCCATCCCCACCATGCCCTCAATCCCTGAATTGAAATTTTGGTCATTTTTTTGTTGACACAGCCTTAGTTCTGATTGCTTTAGAATGCTCTAGATTTCATTCCTGACTTGATCCATCAATCCACTCTTTTTTTTTTTTTTTTCCAGTTTATTAAATTAAAATTATATTGTGTCATTTCAAATAAATGATGGTCAGCAAAACCTCAGGAGTGAAGTTCCGCAAGTTGGGTGCTGTAACCCAGCTACAAATCCAGGGAGCAGGACTTGGAGGTTAACACTGCAGTACATTGTTGCCTCCTTAGTATTAGAAAGCACTGGGATGCAGTGATTAACTGCAGAAAAGTAAACGTACCTGATTTCTGATCATAAGTCCATACTTAATTTAAGGGATATTTTAAAGCTGTCCGTTTGAAGGATTAGCAAGAGGAAGAAAGAAGCGTTGTTCCTTTATCTTCAAGCCGCACACAAACTGGGGAGCACTTTTCGATAAGCTGGGTGTGACTTATCTCCCGATTGAAATACACATCGTTCTTCCCTTTAAATGTATCTCAGGATTCAGATTACTTACAGCTGCTCCCTTTCTCCTCTTCTCAGTCTCCAACTTTTTCTTTTTAACATGGGAAAGCGATTTGCTTCCAAATATGTACCTTTTCATAACATAAATTCATGGAGAGGATGGGCAAAGACGTATTTGCTTGGCTGAGCTAATGAGAAAATGACTCAGCCTGAGTGCCTAACATCTCCTTGTATCACATAAAGCCTTTGACAAAGAAAAATGGGTTTTTAAATACTCAGAGCTGCCACAATAACTGATCATATTTTGTAGATTACAATAGGCTTAAAACAACAATGAACTGGGAGCCATGCAGCCTGATCTGTGTGAGGTTATAAATACCGGCTGCAGCTCCGTAACAAATAAATCCTTGCTTTGAATCTACGTAGAGCGCATTTTGGAGAAATGAAAATTCTTAATTGAAGGAAGAGAGCAGAAATGCCAAGCTGTAACCTTATCACCTCTCCTGAGAGAATGTTCGGGATACGATTTGGGCAATTGACTGTTAAAATTCCTTTAATTAAAAAGCAAAAAACTTGTGAGGGCAGCATGACTGACCTGCTTCAGATACGGCCTCGT